CAGGGGCTGGGACTGCGTATCGCCCTCCAGGGAGAGGCCCGTTTAACGACTCCTCCACCTGCAGCTCTGCGGAACTGCCGCATAAACAAGGAGACTCCGGAGGAGCCTCAGCACAAGGGAGATCTAACTCCTCATCCACGCTGACTCGGAGCAAAACATCGCCAAAGCAGCATCAGCCCTGGCGCTGCAGCTCTCTAACGCAGCCCTTGGAGCGTGGCCTTCCGCCCTTCCTGCGGAGCTCAGGTACCTGCATGATGCTGTTGAGTCGAGGCTGGAGGCTGCTCAGATACTCCTTCTTCACCTCGATCTCCTTCAGGATCTTCTCCTTGCTGGTCAGGCACTCCTTGTACTTCTCTGCCAGCCTAGGGGTGGGAATTCGGTTACCAACAGGTGTCAGAGCTCAGCAGCCTGCCGCGGCCTGCCTGGCTCACAGGTCCCAGCTCTCCCGACCTGCCAGAACTCACTGCAGGAGCCAGGAGAGCTCAGACACAGCGACAAACAAAGAACAGCTAACGCCAAAGGCAAGTGGAGGCAGAAAGGAACCGATCAGAGCCGGAAAACGAACAGGGAGAGAAAGTGGAAGCTCAGCCTTGTGTTGTGCCCTGAGCAGGGGTAGCAACCGGATCCTCCCGCAGCGACTCGCTCTCACGCCAGCCTCTGCTGCCAGCAGCCACGCTGACGGAGCCCTGCCGACCCCACAAAGCTCCTGAAGAGGCCCTTCTGCTCCCCATCACCAGAGTCACACCACGTCACCTCCTTCGTTAAGGTCTAACCCGCTGGCAAGGGCTTCTCTGTAACTGGGTAGAAAACCCAGGGACACGGAAGTTTGGCACGACCCTGCAAGCCCCGGATACACTCTGGGGTTTAGGGAGAACACGCTCGATCTCCTGATTGCTGCTGATTGCAACCTCTCGCCCCGCGGGAGCGGGGAACGCTGGGTACGGAGGCACAGCAGGGGCAGTGGTGGTCTGGGGGGCTCAGGCACCCTCCTCTCGGGACCCTGCTCCCCACCAGGCGAGGGCACTCACAGCACAGAGGAACTCCCCTCTACGGAGGAACAACAGACCTGACGCTGCAGGACTGAAATACTTCTGCTTCCAAGCAAAACTGTCTCTGTGTTGGGTCACTGCACCCCAGCGGGCTCTGACACAGTGCGGTTTTCCAGTCCGGCTGTCAGACAGCTCTGCTGAGCTCCCCGCGCTAGTGAGAGGCAAAAGAGCCCTGCTGCGCCCTTCAGGAGGGACCTTCTGGAACAGAGCCCACGACAAAGCCAGTGCTCCACAACACGATGGTCACGGATGGATGCCAAGAACCCCAACAGCACCAGAATGTGCCCAAAGCACCGCTGGTGTCTGCAGAGGCTCCTTCCCACCACCCCAGTGGTGAGCGGGGGGGTTCCCTAGATACTGTGGGGCAAGGACTGGGAACTGCATGGCTTCTTGGCAACGCGCAGCCATGCGTGCGGCCCAGCTCGTCTTTGCCTTCCACACAGCTTGCAGTGAACGATCATTTTTAAGGAGAATTCTGAAGAGAGCTCCAGGCTGAGCACTCCTCCGCAAGCGTGTGCCGCATGCAGAGCCGTCCGGCTGTCTCGGCTGCAGCGCGAACAGGTGCCTTCCACCCGGCCAAAGCAGCTGCGTTCGATGCGAAGGGTCTGGGAGAGACGAAGCAGGAGGCGATGGAGCCCCGCAGCACCCACCCGCAGCACCCCTCGCTAGTCTGCTCTGCCGAGCTGCCCCGCTCCTGCCGCCCCTACGGGCAGCTTCAGGCTGATCGCGCCCGGCTGAAAAAGCTGCTGGCCGTCATCGAAACACAGGAACGTTGCGTCACGTTTTTGACGGAGCGGTCGAGCCACCCGGCCTGCCCCAGCGCAGGGACCTCGGGGGGCAGAGTCCACGCCGAGGCGGTGGCTGGCA